CGAGTTCCAAGACAGAGAGGGCTACACAGAGAAGTGTCCTGTCTCAAAAAAAAAAAAAAAAAATCCATCAAGTCCCAGTGTTTCATGAGTGCCCCTGATGTGACAGCTTTACCACCACCTCTCCATAATGTGCCACCTCCTCACATCACACAAGACCAGTGGGAGCTGTGTGACTTTCACAAAGCTCATTGGTCTTTTTGCACCTTTGCGGTGACACTCTGCTGAAGGAACCTCACTTTGGGGCCATGTCTAGAGAAAAGCTGGAGTGGGGGACAGATTCCAAGGTCCCTGGGTTTCATCCACATCGTGGAATGATCTGAAAGCAGGGCTAGGTGAGGCTTTGGGGCCTCCAACATCAGAGTTTGTGCCCCTATACTGTTTGCTCCCTCCAAATGAGCTCTGAGGTGTCCAGATCTGTGGAGTTGGAACTTGGTCAGCAGGGGCTGGAGGATTCAACGTGCATGGAACAGGAGAGCTTGACTGTAAAAGGATGGGGCTGGTGCTAGGGACTTCACCCCTCATCCCAGCCCAGGTTTGATTCACTCACCACCCTGAAGCCAATAATCTCTGGATTTGGTCTCCTACCCTGGCCTTGTGCAGACACAGCCCCAGTGCTCCTAGCCTCCTCTTCTGCCCCAGCCCTGCCCTCACACCCATCCTGTAACCACCCAAACCCATCCCTTCCTGAAACCACGAAGCAACCTTTGTGTCCACATCTACAAACCCCTTGTCTCATCCTCAGCGAGGCAACCAGTACGTGTCATGGCCCTCCATTGGCTTCCTGGTACTCGCGTGGCTCTTTGTGTTAGTCACCATGATTGTGGCTGCAGTTGGTGTGACCACATGGCTACAGTTCCTCTTCTGCTTCTCCTACATCAAGCTCGCCGTCACGCTGATCAAGTATTTTCCCCAGGTACTCCAGAGCCTTCCTGCATTTCCATATGGTTGGTAGTGTGAGAGGCAAGAGGTACTGAGCCTGGGCCCCATTCTCCTAAGGTGGAAAGCTACAGTAGAAGCCAGTAAACCCAGAATGGCAAAGCGTCATTGGGTACCACTGCATGCTCTTTCCTGGAGCCAGACTCATGTGTCTTTCCTAATAACTTTGGATTTCTCTCTTGACTGCCTACCACAATAGCCATCCCAAGGACCAATGGCGGGGAATTGGAAAAGATCAGACAGAGGAGGAAGCTGACCACTGGGGCCTTCTCCTTTGCAGTGATGTTCTCCGAAGAGGCCCCTCAGCATGCTCCCCTCCCTAGTTCTTACAGTCCAATCAAGGTCCTCGGGCTTAGACTCAAACATGTCACCTCTGATAAGCATGATGGCCCTAGGCTAGAGCCTGATATAAAGAAATGACATCCACATATGAGTTCTAGAGCCACCTTGAACTTCTTCCCAATGCTGAGAGACTTGTATCCTTTGGGCTAGAGATACAACACTGGCTATAGGCAGGGGTAGACCCTGAGGGAAAAAGCAGAGTTCTGTAGACTATGGAGAGTGCTGTTTCAGGCCTGGGCAGCCTGGGCACAGGCCTGGCTGCTGAGCAATGTTGAGAATCTAGAAACTGAGTACCTAGAGCCAGGTCCCAGGGAACTTGCATGGAGAGACCAGGCTCTGTGCTGAGGTTTACGGCTGGGAACCTGAGGCAGGAGCATCTGTGGGAGACATTTGAATTATCTGGAACTGGAGAGGGAACACCAAGTATGGAGTAGAATGAGAAAGATCAGGATGGGGACCAGAAAACCACCAACAAGGCCAAGATCTCCCTCCTGGGTGGTAGCAAAGGAGATGGTACCAGCCAGAGATGCTCTGAGGGCACTATGGGTTTGGAAAAAGAACTTGAGGCTAGGGCAGCAGGAAAATGGGAATGCCCAAGAGACTAGGAAGCCCCAGCAGTTGGAGGTGGCAGCTGGGCCACTGTACAGGTGGAAGAACTAAAGGACTCTGTAGCTTTCCCAAGGTAGCCCAGAGCTGGAGCTGGATTCCACACCAGAAAGTCTGGCTCCCACCCACATTCCTAAGTAGTGTGCAGTCCAGGCTGAGATTGGGGCAGAATCACTGGAGCTGTGAAAAATCAAGAGTCACAGTCAGACATAGTGGTACACACCTGTAATCCTAGTACTTGGAGTACCTGGGAAGCTGAGGCAGAAGAATCATGAGTTTAAGGCCAGCCTAAGCTACATAGGGAGACACTGGTATAAAAATAAAAATCAGAGGTCTGTATCTACTCTAAGAGGTTGAAAAACTAGGCAGCATTCTCACACCCCCACCCCACTGGAGTCTGGAGGTACTGAAGGGGCAGGGAGGAAAGGGAAGCTTCACTTGCCCAGCATGCAAACTGTTTTCCTGGCTCCAGTTTGTCAAAGCTCAGAGGTCATTGTGTTCCTTGGAGCCCTGAGCTTAGTACATGAGTGGGAAGAATCAGCCGATCTTATTTGGAGTAGCAGTCACAAGGCATGTGTGGCATTGTCCGTCCCCAGGCCTACATGAACTTTTACTACAAAAGCACCGAGGGCTGGAGCATTGGCAGTGTGCTCCTGGACTTCACAGGGGGCAGCTTTAGCCTCCTCCAGATGTTCCTCCAGTCTTACAATAACGGTGAGTCTGCCAAAGCTGCTTCTACCCAATGGGTGAAAGCACGGGAGGAAGGGGCTTCCTGGGAACCCCTAGCTTGTACGATTTCCTGGGCAAATGGGCGTCCTCACATCCCCACACATCCACCTGCCTTAGAAGCTACCAGGCTAAAACCAGCTGTCCCCTCTGGCTATTTAACAGACCAATGGACATTGATCTTCGGTGACCCAACCAAGTTCGGACTTGGTGTCTTCACCATCTTCTTTGATGTTGTCTTCTTCATCCAGCACTTCTGTTTGTACAGAAAGAAACCAGGGTATGACCAGCTGAACTAGAACCCAGAGACCCAGTATTAACAGCCAGGGCTTGGGCCCTGGTAGGAAAGGTTGTGTCCAGAAAAGGCCAGAGAAGCAACCGGTGGACAGAGCTGGTACTGTATACCGACAGAGAAGCACGGTCTTCCTCATGGGCCAAATGCCTTAAACTCATCCTGCCTGCCTTCATCCTGGCCCCTCCCAAGCCATAGAGGACTCTCTCTTTCTGGGACAGACACCTGACTCTGCTCTGAGACTGAAAGCCAGACTTGAAGTGGTCTCTCCCAACCCAAAGTTGCAGCCCCCTGCCGGGAGACACCCAACCCTCCTCCTGCGTCTTGATATGCCATCTCTTTTCTTTAAGGCTTCAGGCAGCACACACAGGTCCCGACAGCCATCCCAGACAGAACTGGGCACCAAGTTTGCAGCCGATGGCCTTGCCCCAAACCACCAGTGTTTCTGAGACAGCTTGAAGGGCTAACCTTGCAGCTGTGAGAGCCAAGGGTGCTTCCACCACTTCGTTCACAGGGACCAAGCAGCCAGGTGTGCTGTGGCCAATGGACTCGAAGGTGCTGATGCTGGTGGTGGAGGGGAGAGGACTATGGGATGAGGTTCTGGGGTCCTTTCTCTGGAGGCCACATTTCTGATACTGCTCCAGGAAATGCAGAACACCGGCCCAGGCCGGTGCCTGGTAAAGTATATTTCTGATCCCTGAGGTGCCTGCCAGGTCAGTGTGAAGTGGACCCACACCTATTGCCCTCTGGATCCTTACATAAAAGGACAGATAACACAGTAATGTTTTGATTTTTTTTTTAACTTCTGAGGGATATTTTGAAATGGCTTGCTTTCTTTTGCCATCTTTCTTACCTCCACTTTCTGAGAGTCGGATGGAGCCCCATCTGAGTACTCCACCCGCACTGCTCCTAACCTTATACCTATGGAGCAGGCACCTAGTACCAGCCTGTGCCTTAGAGTCAATTAAGCATTAAGAGTAGTTCCTCTGGAGGGTAGGGGAGAACAGACCCCTCCCCCCAGCACGTGCGCCTCAAACTAGAACTCCAATTTCTTAGCTGTTGGGCCTCAGAAGAGCAGGAGCTCACCTCCTATGACGCTTATGAGCCCCACCCTGATCCCAAACCTCCTTCCTTCTTGTCCCAAGTTGTCCTTCCTATGCCAGATGGGGAAGGAAGCAGGGTGAGCCTTGAGTTTTCCAAATTGCTCTTTTTGCTTTCTACAAGACTAATATTGAGGGGCCCTTGTATTTCTCATTCTTGTATATTTTTTCTTGTCTGGTTTCATTTTGGTGGAGCATATGTCCTTAATTAAAAGGTGGCTTGTTTACTATCTGTACACTTGGATCACTGACTAGATGCAGAAGGCAGTTATATTGGACCTTTGGAACCAAGTCCCTGGGGCTTGGAGGACCTTGCTTACTTATGTAAAGAAATGCATAGGGTTGTGGAATACATTGACATAAGGTGGCTGCATGTTGACCCACACTGGATCGGAGAAGCCTCCTCGGGTTCAAGATCCCTGTCCAACCAGAGCCAGGTAGGTTTGTTTCAGTGTCTTATCTGCCAGTACCAAGGTTCCATCAGCATGTTCAGGCTGTGGGTGTGAGCTGGAGTTGGAAGGTTCAGGGTAGGGCATGAAGCAGGGGTGGTGAAGATCTTACTCTGTAGACTGAAACATCTCTAAAGTCAGGCTTGACTATTTCCTATAGTCAGGCTTGCAGCCTGGTCAAGCCCATAGCTCACCTACTGATTTTTTTTTTTTTAATAAAATGTGTTAATTGGACTGACACGGTAGTGTATCTTGAAATGTCAGCTATGTAGGAGGCTGAGGCAGGAAAAACACAAGGTCATGGCCAGCTTGACTAACACTGCAACACTGTCTCAGGGTAAGGTAGAGATGTGGCTCACCAGCAGAATGCTTGCCTAGTGTACAGGCTTGAGGCCCTGGGTTCAACAGCACCAGGAGGCAGGGGAAAAGGGTGTTATTGGGTGCTACACTTTAAAAACAAATTTTTAAATTCTGGACTTTTTCTTTAGGACAGAGTGCTATGACTCAAACCCAGGTCCCTGAGCATGTTGGACAAGTGCTCTATCACTGACCAGCATCTCCAACCTTCTGGGATTTCCTTTACATGTTCTTATTGGCAGTGATAGACAAGCCCCTGAGTGACATCTACCTAGAGTTCCCAGCTCACCATCTAGTCAGACTGCCCCTGTAAACATCCAAGTGCCTGTGAAGCTCCTCTCAAGCGGGAACTGAAGCTAGGGTACACAAGAGGCAGGTGGGGGTTTCACAGTGACATCAGAAAATACTCTGCAGACTTCCCACAACCACAGTGAAAGTGCTTCTAGGCACTTCCACAAATGTGGTCTCTGCACATCACAGTGAGGCTTCTATGGTGCCGACAGAAATATGTTTTCCAGGCAAGTAGGCCTAGGAGGAGTTGTGCATTTTCCCGAAACAGCAAGGGTCAGGCTAGCCATCCTTAAAACCAAAGCACTTGTTTCATTCCACCCTCCAAGACACCTACCCACCATCTTGGCAAAAACCACTAATAAATTCCAGTATTGTTTATTGGGCACAAGTGTTGAGCATGGGGTAGCATCATACTGCCCCATTTCCATAGTAACCAATTGGCTTAGTCACACGCTACAAGTTGCTGCTTCCAGGTGTGTGAATTAGTTAAGCTAAATTCAAAAGGAGAATTGGCTTTTCCAAACAGTAAGATAAAAACACTTTGTATCAAAGTTATGACTTAAAAAATACAAAAGCTAAACCCACAGGTGTAGAGAAAAAATGGCAATCCTGAGAGCTGCCCTGAAATGTCAGTCTTGAAACTTGTATAAATTGTTTAAGCAGGCAGCTCCTGGAGAGGCCAGCACCCATTAGGGAAATGAAGGTAGTGGGAGCCTGCCCTCTTCCATCCAGGTGGCCTTCATACAGTCTCTGGCATATTTGGGTCCAGCCCCAGGCTGGGCCCCATGATGGGGGAAGCATGGAGAGAGGCACTGAGGAAGGACAGGGCCAAGCCCTTCATCCAGAGCAAATGGGGAAACATGGCCCTACCTGGCATTTCCAAGCTTTGGCAGCTCTCAGGAAGTGTTTCCTGACTGCCCAGCCCCTGCTGTGGCCAAGTAGTGGGTCTCAGGCCGAACCTATGGTCACTGCAGACTGGATACTACTCCAAGCCCTTATTTCCAATCCTCAGCATCCAAGAGAGAAAGCTGGTCCCATGGCCTCAGACTGGGGGTTGAGGGGGAGGAAGGTTGGCTTGGACCTTGGGATCAGTTGTTACCCCTCAGAGCTGGGACCCAGCACACAGCAGAAGCCAGAAGGAGATACAGACATAGTGTGGATGTGTTGTCACTATACATAAGGTTGGTGGGCACAAGTCAAGACTGGCTGACTGCTAAGACAGCATGGACTGCTGTACGGCCTTCTGCAGAGACTGCCGGGTTACCAACAGGCGCACCACCTCCTCCGAGCGTTTGGTGAGCCGCTTCCGAGCCTGGTCATGTGTGACCATGGTCATGTCCCAGCCGTTCACCTGTCCCAAGGAGAGAACATAGGCTACTTCAGCTCTTTACCCTCTCGAACAGTGGTTCTCAACCTGTGGGTTGCGACCCCTTTGAGGGTTGAGCAACCTTTTCACAGGGGTTGCCGAAGACTATAATATATATCAGATATTTACATTACGATTCGTAACAGTAGCAAAATTAGTTATGAAGTAGCAACGAAAATAATTTTATGGTTGGGGGTCACTACAACATGATGAACTGTATTAAAGGGTTGCAGCATTAGGAAGGTTGAGAATCACTACTTAGAATCTGGAAACAGGGTTTTGAGGGGCCCAGGCTAATATCCCCTAACATAGAGATGCCCAGCATTCCTATCTAGCGGCATACAAAACCGACTCTCTTAAGGCAATAACAGCATGGCTTCAGAAACCCATTTTGATGAGTTAGCCCCCAACCCCAAGTGCTTCAGCCCCTCTCACGCAAACCTTGTTTCCCACCTTTGGAACAACCATACCTGCATGATCTTGTCTCCAATCTGCAGCCCAGCAATTTCAGCAGGGCCTCCCTCAGATACTCGTGTGACATAAATGCCCTGGAAAGAAGCATTTACACAGGTAAGGTCCTATGGTCACTGGATTGGCCCTTTACCCACAAAGCCCAGCATGACATACTCTCAGAAACGCCTCTGTCCCTTTGCCCACCTTTCCCACCAATACATTCAGCTGGCATGGGCTGTGCCATGACAGCCAGAGGGACAGGGTAGCTGCCCCTGGGGTGTTCCAGACTGCTGATGGCCACCTCCTGCTCCTCCAAGCTGTCTCAGCATGCTTTCTATTAATCCCACCAGATAATTTAAGATTGTCTAGGAAAACCAGTCTGCTGTTTCCACACAGACCCAGGAAGAAAAATCTGCCTCCTCAATCAGGCTTCTGTGCCCCATGGAAAGGTCTGGGGTCCTAGTCTCTCACCTTGTCTGTTTTATCTTCCGAGAAGGGATTCTGGGAAGGGTCTTGGTCGATCCCACCTCCAATACTGAAGCCCAGGATTAAGTTCTCACCTTGACGCAACTTATGAATTTCAACTCTTTGCTGGTAAAAGAAAAAGCAAGTTGTGAGTAATGAGGCAGTGAATGGGAGGAGATCTGATCTCTGTGCCCAGCAGCAACCTCAGGCTGCTGGGTCAGCTTAGAACTATGCCAAGGGGTTAGAGATGAAGGCCCTCTGCCGAAAGCCAACAGGTGGTTGGGTCTCAACCCCTACACACAGCCCTTTGCCTGCAACTTTCCCTACCCATTTCCCACCCTTGATCAACAATGTATTCAGGTCCTATCGTGGCCCAAGGAACAGAAGGTACTGTGGCTGCTATAAGAAAGACACCTATCTTTCTGGAGAGGGATCACCCAGAACAGGAAAGATAAAGCCCTAAGAGTGCAGATGCCTGCTGAGGCCGCTCAGATTGTGGACTGCTGAGCAAGCCCTACAGAGATTATGAAAGCCTGGAGGGGCATGGGAGAAGCAGGGAAGAAACTTGCCAAGAAGAGAAGGGCTTCCTGGTCAAGGAGACTGGTGTCTCCAGGAGGTGAGATGGGATAAAGGATGAGACTGGCGTGTAGGCCTAGTCATATAATCTCCCCAGTCCTTAGGTCCTGTTCTCATGCGGTGTAAGAGACACTATTCTTGGGCTTTCTCAGCATGCTCTGTGGTCAGGGTCTCCAACTGGGCAGGCTCCTTGGAGAGCCCTCAGAAAGCATCCTCCAGGTACCTACCAGAGGTTACCCCCAAAGTTGAGAATTTTAACACAAAGAAGTAGGAGTGGTTTTCTGGACTTGGGAAGGCTTCAACAAAGAGAGGATTATTTGCACCCAGCCTTGAGAAATGACAGTGCACCATCTGACCTTGATCTTGAACCTACTGGGTCTCAAAAAGGAGGTAGGAGTAGGGCAAGGCATTGATGCTAGGATGATCACTGGAGTGGTAGGTGGGGGAACGGATTTCTCACGGTGGGATATGGAGGTCTAAAGACACTTATAAGTGCTGATCCACAGACAAGGACTGAGATGAGCAAGTGGGGAAGTGCACCCTGTCATCTGTCCAAATCAGTAGCCTTCTCAACCTGTGGATCTCCATCCCGTGGGGACAACCAAGTCTTTCGAGGTCACCCAAGACCATCAGAAAACATAGATGTTCACATTACAATTCATAACAGCAGCAAAATTAGAGTTGTGAAGTAGCAAGGAAAAGAATTTTATGGGCTGGGGGTGGGGGGTCACCACATCATAAGGAACTGTATTCAAGGGCTGCGCATTAGGAAGGTTGAGACCCAGTCCAGATGAACACAACCATCACTCCATTGGGGACCCAGGTAGAGTGCAGTGTCAGTAGTTGGGAGTGTCAGGAGCCATCCACACAGGCTTCCAGAAGACAGACCTCTGGGGCCAGAGTTCAGGGGAGGAGACAAAATGGCTATAACAGAATCAGGATGTTAACTATACTTGAAGAGGGTAAGACTGGGAGGGAAGCATCTCCACCCCATGAGCAATCCAGAACTCGGGAAAGAGGCCAGATCTGCCGGCTTATGCTCAGGCATGCACCTCATATCAGGATTGGAGGACTGCAGACTTAAAGCTTTGAGAAGGACTCTGACTGGCCTGACAAGACGGAAGAGGAACAAGAAACATGATGCCTAAGGCCCATTCACCTGGAGCTTCCTGCCCCAAAGTGTAAGTGCCTATCCCCACACACCTCCCTTCACGCCCACCAGCAAGGTCCAAAAAGAGACAAAGCCCTGTGACCGACATAAGGGAGAAGTCAGGCAGCAAAGTGGCTCTCCTCGCACCCTCTCTTTTCCAGATAGGGTCAAGCCTGAACTCCTTTCTGGAGCAGTTAGGAAGAGATCCGAGAAAAACCAGGCCGGTACAAGTGGAGTGAAAACCAGGAAGTTGTCCACTGGCCCAGCAATATTTCCTTCTAGCCCAGGCCTGAGCTGGGGCTCTAATCTCATCCTCCTATAGCACCTTCATCAGTGGCTTCCCCCCCCCCCGCGGCTTTGTTCCCCCCACTCTCTTAACTTTGGGAGTTCTCCAATACACTGTCTAAACATGGCCGGACCCTATAGCTCCTGAGTTAGGACTCCAGGGCCAAGAGTGCTTATTGATTAACACCTGTAACTCCAACACCTGGAAGGCTAAATCAGAGTACTGCCAGAAATTCAAGGCCAGCGAGGGCTTAAGAGAGGCCCTGACTGGAGAGAGATCCAGGTCCTTCCTTTTTGGCAGGGCATAAAGGCTTCTCAAAGGTAGGTTTTAGTATACCCACCACTGCCTCAGGGTTGGGCTGCAGGGTCCATGAGACCCTGACCTTGTTGTTTAGAGCTACACCTCTACCTGCCTTTCCCTTTGCCTATTCAAATACAACTGATAAGACAAGACAAACCCAGAAGGCGACCCTGGAAAGATCTAGAACATCAAGTGTCACGCACAGGAACACGAACTTTGAACCAAGGGGCTGAGTATCCTGAAAAGTTCAGAAAATCAAGTTTAGCTCTCGAGGGGTCCGTCCCCAGAACGAGGCCGGATGAGAAGGGGGAAGGGGCTGCTAAGACAAACTCTAGCCAGTCCCACCCCCTAAATCTACGGCTAGGCGGAGGCAGCAGTGTGCCGGCTGGAGCAGAGGAAACGCTTCCTCATTCCAAAGGCTGCGACTCACTCTCGGACGTCGGCGCCCGCCCCCCGCGGCCGCCCAGCTGGGGACACGGAGGCCCAGGGCAGGGGAAGTTTTCTAACACTCCCACGGACCATCCTCCCAGTCCGCGCCTGCTAAACGTTATCCAGCCGGCGGCGGCAGTGCACTGGATCTGACCTCTGCTCTGGGTCTCGGGAGGCTCTTAGGTCCCAGCCACCTCTCCCGGCCAGGGAAGGCTGCAGCGCTGCTAAACCGAAACGGCCACTGGAGCTCTGGCCACCGGAATGCACACGAGAGCCCCGGGCACTTTGCTTTCTCCGCCCGTCTA